CCATTTTTTTACACAGCTGCCTGTGATTAAGTGATTAAGAAACTTGGGGGGGGGGAGAGGTGTTGCAGTTCCCATTTCTACAAGTCACGCGACTATTAAAAGACCCAAAAACGGTGACTGGGAGGGAAACCTGTCGGTCCCATTTCGTCTTTTTTATTCCATGCATAAGTTTTGTTCACCCCAAAACCTAATTACAGGAGGCATGTTTTATGTGCTTATCCCTGGAAACATAGATTTGGTGCAAGAATAATATAACTGCCACTAGTGCACTGCACAGGAGTAGATGATTCATGATTCAGGGATCATATAAATTAGAAGTGTATTTGGATTTTTTTGGTACTCCTCCAAGCATGATTGCTGAAAATATAGTACAATTTCCTAATGCTTTAAATTGGAAAATAAGAGGGTAATACTGCATTGGAATCAAAATAATTATATCCTCCATCCATCCACCAAATCCCTGCATACGATACATCTTTTCCATTTTGTAGCCCACATAGTCTTCAAAACTCTTAAATAAGGTTAGGAAGTATGGTTCCAATCACCAAAAGGCTGCCTGCATTTGGTTTAAGCAAATATGTGAAATCTGTCTTAAACCCCATTTTATTTCAGTAGCATTTGAAATCTGAACAGTTATCCTGAAGTCCAACACTTACTTATCTCACTTTTTTTGTTTTGTGTCAGAAAGCAGATATCCATGGTTAAATTGTATCACCCCTTAATGTATTGCAATTAGTCAAAGTCTCAATATACTGAGCCACAAAGCAACAGACTATCTTTTGAACTAGTGTGTTACACTATCATATGCAAACATGATTTTACTACATCATTCGGGGATGACCAGTGAACAGTTTGAAAAACATTGTTCACAAGAGTCATTAAAAGAAGTGTCACCTCAAGGAGCAGGTTCTTGGTCTTTTGGGAAGCTGCAACTTGTTAGAAACCTGCTATTTTTTTGTGTGGGTTTGAAAGGACTGAATTCTTGTATTTAGGACTGTAAGTTTTGAAAATGCTCGTGCTTACATGTGAGAAGTGCTTATTGCTCTTCAGCCTTGCCTTAGTCAGCAAAATGTATTAGATTAACCTTGCAATACAGCTGTAATTAATAGTTATGTTAGGCAAATTATCCCAGGGCTTAACTGCAAGGATCAGTTGGTAGTTATTTCATTCTTTGGAAATCTCTAGACATAAAGGCAACAGCTTTAGAACATGTTAGCTAAATTCATACAATATGCTGAGCCGAAATGTCGTTTGTTTTTGGCTTAGTGTACCTATAGTGAAGCTATATAGTGGTTAGGACATTGGACTTGTGCTGGGGAGACTTGATTAAGCCAGTAACACTCTATTTTTGGAATAAAATTAGAGAACAGCCCCATACGCTGAGACTGAAGAGAAAAAGCAATCAATGAAAAAAGGAATTATAGCAAAGAGAACCTGGTGCCAATGGCTCCATCACAAAAGCAAATTTGGCAGTGAAACTACTTTAAGAAGCATGAATTTTTGATGCTACTGTACCTTTTTTTTTTTTTTTACTCTTCCCAAGTTTTTTTAAACTAAGCATCCAGGAGGCATAATACAGGTATTTTGCATCCTAGGACTCCCACCTTCCCCAAATGGATTTTGTAATCTAGGTTAAAGTTTTGATCTGCTATTGGATATCCCATGCAGTGGTGTGAAACTGGTGGCCTGTGGGCTGGATGTGTATGTGCAGGCCATGCCCATCCCAGCTCCGCAAAGGCAAAATATCACAATGTCACGTGACAGCAACATGACGCGGTGAGTTTGACTGACACCCGTGCCATAGTGGTAACTGCTTAAACTTTATTCAGATGATATATTTGCATGCAGAATTGAAATCATGAATAAGAGCAAGGAGTCCTTCCCCTTTCTCAGTTTCCCTGACAGTCTGCAACTAACGTGTAAGTGTAGCTGCAGTAGGAATTCCAGCTCAAAAGAAAGCCTTCATACAAAGATTCCAGGCTGCAGACAATTGTTTTATAACTGCATTCAATTGTTTACACAAATGTTAACACCTGAAAAGTTTCAAAATGTTATTACCTGAAAAGTTTCTGTTAATATATTTGTAAACAGTTCTGAAAGTATGGCTAACCTATTTCAATTCTTAAAATTTATGTACAATTATTTGGTTAAGTGTGGAAAAACAGGCTGCTTAGAAAAAATGCAAGCACCTCTGCTACTTTCCTCTCCTGTTTGAGCTTTCTCCCCAGCTTAGAAGGGAGTTGTCAATAAACATAAAACTTTGAAATGGGTGTGGGAGGAGAATGGAGTAAATGTCTGTTTTGGAAACTCTTCAGCCATTGGCAAACAGAAAAAAGTCAAATAAAAGAAGGGATTTTTTTTCCCCCTCAAAGTGAGTGGATGGTCCAGAAGAAAAAGAAATGTAGAGACACAGCATAGCGTAACTATGTTGATAAAATACTGTTGAACCAAAGCAGCCCCCAAAAAAAGTCAAGTACAAAGCTGATTTGCGTGATCAAGAACAAAGTAATAATCCATGATAGTAACTGATGAATTTCACATGAGAACAGTTCATGAGCTAAGAAAGGGAAATTGCTATCAGACTTCATATTGATAAGAGCATAAATAAAATCTTCAAGAATTGATATTTGCCAGCAATTCTTATTTATGCTAAGAAAGTGAGGTATTTCTTCACAACATTGTGATATGAACTCATCATCCAGAAATGAAGTGCCAGTATATTAAATATTATCAAAAAGCTTCACCTGTGGGGGGTAAAAAACCCAGGCTCTAGCAGGAAAACTAGTGGTTACAGCTTTTGGGAATCCCTGGATTTCCTTGAACCTGGTACCACTTCACTTCAATGTTCAAAACTTTGAAACAAGGATTAAGTAGAGCTTGGAAGCACAGAAGGAAATTTTGCTACACTATGAAAATATTAGGGCTCACACCTCACAAGCCATTCAAGAGGCAACTGTGAAATTTGATTTTTGGTGTCTTATCCCATCTGCCATTTAGCCCCATATACTCTCACCTTTTCCCAAAATGAAGCAATAAGCTCATAAGCATGTATTTGACTCAGATGAAGAGGTGGAAAGGACTGTTAAGATTTGATTAAAGAAAAAAAGTAGAGTTAATTTGAGATGGCTTTAAAAAAATTGTCCCACATTGCAGGAGTGTGATTATTGGAAAAATAAATACAGCTAACAAAGTAGCTATACCAAAAAAAATTCTGTTTTATTTAAAGTATCTATACTTTATAGTATTTAAACTATAGCTACAGAAGTGCAGGTATAATTTTTCACTCAGCCCTTGTATCTGATAAAGTTCTTCCTGAGCTGTTAAAATGCACGGGCTACTTTTATAAAGTGCTGTGTTTGAGCTTCTGTCCACTTAGTAGTAGTGGCATTTCAAGGCATTTGGTGGCATAACAAACTCACTGCATGGAACCCCTTCAACTTATTCTGGGTTCCCTGATATTCTATGGATCATAGTTTTAAGAAACACTTTATCTTCATGTGATATGCAAATCCAGCTCCAGTGTCCCAAAAGTGTTTTTTCAAGAGGCAACTGGACTTTCTGGTTTTTCTTTGAAGACATTTTGCTTCTCATCCAAGAAGCTTCTTCAGCTCTGACTGGATGGTGGGGAATGGAAGGATTTATACTCCTTGCAGCTTGTCATTTGATAATGATAATGACCAATTGTCTGCAAGAAATATAAATCCTTCCATTCCCCACCATCCAGTCAGAGTTGAAGAAGCTTCTTGGATGAGAAGCAAAATGTCTTCAAAGAAAAAACAGAAAGTCCAGTTGCCTCTTGAAAAAGCACCTTTGGGACAACCATGACCTAGATGACTGAGATTCTCCATAGACATCCAACTCCAGTGGTTAATTTGTTGTTCAGCGCATCATACAAATGAGAGAAAATAGTAAATAGTGGCAAAGTTACCACCAATACGTGCACTGTGAGCTATAGTCAATATCATGTGGGAGATTACCTCTAGATTTGGCACTAGGGAATAAAATCATGAAGTAAATAAAATTAATCAAATCGGAATATTGCATCATATTTTACTTACAACTCTAATAATTACCAAAGAGCAACCAAACATGTATATGACAAATTTAAACTTGATTTAAGAAAGCATTATGACAGCTTAACAGGATACTATATCCAATAATGACTGCTACTGATATAGGATATAATAGTAATGCTCTTGGGCACCATTTTGACCCAAGATAATTCTATTAATACCAACCAGGCGCTCTGCTCCATCGCTTTTTGAAAAAAATCTGGTATATGAGCCAAGTTCATAATTCTAGCACCGTATTTATTTATAGAAATGTCATATGGAAAAACTGGGATGGCAGATAATATAGTGGGGCGCTAACATCCAATAAACGATTGTTTTGATTGGCCGTATCTCCATGGTAATTATTTTATAAGTAGACAATCACCCATTATAGCCATTTGCTTTCAAAACCCATTCAGAAGTGGTTGTCCTCTTCTTCTTTATCATCAGGCTTCTCTTATCCCTATTGCCTCCATCCTATCTAGATTCATTATAATTTTATTTCTCTAGAACAATCCTAAAAATCAATCCTATAACTGTGTCCAGAGACTTAACATGCAACGAGGAGCCACCCTTTCTGCAAGTTTCGTAAGATTATCTCCCCAAATTCAGAAGCCATTACTTCTGCTTAATCTTTAGGATAGGCTTTCTATACAGTATGGTCTGTTACCATAAGAAAAGCAGAAAATAAACATGAGTCCATAACCAAACACGCTGTATTTTGGGTCCAAGCCATTTTGACAATTGTAAAATAGGCAACTGCAATGTGTGTCATTGACTGATTTTTCTACTTTATGACATACAGTTTTATTCTAGGAGTAGCCTAGTTACTGCAAAGTAATGCTTAGGTGCATGCTTATAAAAATGTAGGCAAACCTGCTTCTTGGGTGGCAGGAAGGATGCAGCTGGTTGCTTCAGGATGTGAAGAAAATAATTTGATACATAATATAAGGCAACAATGAATTTATTAGTGGCCATGTGAAAGAATAATCTTTCTGCTCTAAATTATAATATGGCTTGTTTGTTTTTGGCTTGGTAAATAAAGCAGGATTAAAATAGTACATGAATCTAGAATACTTTTATACTTGCAAACTAGAATTTACAAGTTGATCACATTATTTGAGGAATATTCTATCGGTCTTCAATTCACAGTCAACATATCATTTTCAGAAATGTGAAGCTACAGCATTTCTTTATTAAACTTAATTTACAAACTGAGAATACAGCATATAACTCTAATGTCCAAGAATTTGACCAGAAAATATCAGTCAAATTTAAAATATGTCCAAAAACATCAAAGAAGATAGAATGTATGGCCCTTTTCATGTTGAAAAACTGCAGTTTTAATATTCCTATTACCAGCCATAATGGCTGGGGCTGTACAACAACATCTAAATGGCCAATAGTTCCTCATCCTCTGCCATAAATAATTCTCTGTACAAAAAAGCCTTAGCACACAATACTGCCTCAAAACATTTATTTCAAGAAATAAATGAGCCGATATACATATTTAATAAGATGAAGTAAAGATAATATTTTTAATTTGCTGAATAGAATAGGCTGATAAGATGGTAAACAATAGTACAGCACCTCTGTAGGTAATTAAATTTACATCCTACAGGATAGTTATTAAAATAATCCAAAGCCTATACAAAGACTGGGCAAATTGCAGCTCATTTACAAGAGCTTATTGATTCTGAAGACGGCACCAAAGGCATATATTTAAGGCATAACATTGCAAAGATACTGAGTTTGTTCAGTTGATTGCATTATGCAAATAGGGGCCACATTTTAAGAATTTTTTTTTAATCTGCTCAGCCTTTAAAATAAAATTTTCAATATGAAAACCTGAAAATACCCCCAGATGATCAATTAGCCTATCACTCCTTTCCACCAAACGTATGGGGCAAGAAGGAAACCGCAAAATGACATAAATGGACTATTTAGTTATATTCCTAAAACTTAGTTAAACCAAGACAGCAAAAATAAATGTGCACAATACGTATACATTTCATAGATTCTGTTTTACCATCAGAGAATGGATACCCAAGAAATTTTAAAAGAAACATTTCTAATTTGTATACTTTAGAACAATATTAACAAATATTAGGCATATCTATCTTCAATCATCGATCTTTCAAGAAAAATAATTTTTAAAATATTGGCAGGTGCTTGCAAAACAGTAAACTTATCTTTTACAGGAATAATATGTATGACATATTTGTGCAAATGCCTACACACAGAGTAATCTTTATGGGATATAACAGACTTGTTTTCACGTATCTCTTCCTCCTGACATCCATGCACATTGGCTTAATGTGGCTATAAGAAATTTAGAGACAGATTCCTTGATCAAGTAGATATTAACAAAGACAGAAAAAGAACTAATGAGGTTATTCCCCCTAATGGATTATCATACCCATTAAACGTTCTAGGTAGGCAGAAATACCAGACTTGGTTATAACGCACAGAGACATCTCCTGTGTGAAATAGTCATAGGCATGAGGATTCAAAGAACACTTTGGCATTGTGTGTTACTTTCGATATTTATTTCATTTATTAAATTTCTATGCTAAATTTTAACTCCCCTACAAGGTGACCCTGGGTGACTTTGTTGATATTAAGAAATAGGTAATATGACAGTATATTTTTAAATGATACAATAAAAGCAGCACCAAAAACAATGCTAGAAGCAAAAATTCTAGCATTAATAGTAGGAGTGCCTAAGCTTTGTACAATAGTTGCATCCTAAATATATTTAAGAACTGAATTCCAATGCAATTTAAGTCATGCTAAAAGACTTGACTTTAATGTTATTTGCTCACACTAGAAAAGTTAAGATGATCCTTGCTGTATCCTACTGAGATTTCTAAAATCATGGGTAACCTAAAGAAAACATTTATTTCACTCTTCTGCATGATTAAGCAAAACAAATCTTAATCAAAGAAGACATTACAATATCCCCACCCCAAGCACAGAATTTACAATATAGTAACAGGCTTGGAATGGTTTCCAAGAGAAGACAAATGGGAATTAAAGGAAAGCTCAGAGAGGAAGCATACTCATTCCTGCAGTAGAGTTTCCAATTTCCAGGATCAACTGTTCCAGGACTGAGGTTTTGTAGCTTGAGTTGCAACATCAAGTAATTCTTGCCTCACTTCAACAGATTCTTTACTGATTGATAATAATTTTCGTAACTCTTTATTTTCAAGCTGAAAATTAAAAATAATAATATGTGATCTGTTAGTGACAGAGACAATATATTCATTCAGTGCCATAAAAATGTAATTTTGAGGATATCCATAATTACTTCCCATATATCACTCCTATCATCTTTCCATGCCGCTTTTTAAAAGATTTATCATCAGATAAATGTCCAACACTTCCTATGAGCGCCATGGCGAACACACACATTGCTTGCTTTTGTTAGTTAGCAAGACAGCTTTGTGAGGGGAATTGTATCGTAACCCGTTGAATGCTGGATCCAAGTCAATGTAGTCTTTCTGGAACAAAGGATTGTTGATGCTGCTCCTTATGAATAGGCCACCAAAACTGTCACTTTTTATCATCAGCTTCTGAATGGGGTAGCTGAGAATCAGGATTTACATCAAGCTCAACTTCTCAATCATGGACACTAAGCTGGAGAGAGCCTTATATCTTAATCCCCTTTTTGGATTTTAAAAAACTATTTGCATATTGTAGAGATTAAGATTCTTCAGACTGGTGAGGTTTTTCATCAGGTGATAATTGTATAAATTTAATTTTAAAAGTTTTCTATATGGGCTTGGTATATGGATTTCGGAAAATTAATAATGGATTAAGGGGCTAAAGGAATTTGAAACAATAGTTTTGAATTATTTAGAAGATACATTCTCATAGGAAAATGAAGATTTGCATATTTTTTATGACAAGGAAAACTTGAAGGCTAGATCCCAGAGCCAGAGGAGAAAGAAAATGGAGCAGAAATCCTTAATGCAAAATTTTGAATACCTTTCAGTTAAACTTTCGGACAGAATGGATCAGATGCTTAATAAGATTGATGAAGCATGTCCTAATGAAATTGTAAAACAAGAACAAGCTGTAGTGGATGTTTATGAGACCAAAATGGAGGGGCATTTGAATGTAATACAAATGTATCTGATGGAGACTTATTCTCTAGAGGAGATGAACAGACATTAGGAAACTGATTTGGATAATTTTTTTCTTCAGTATATACAAAAGAGCCCTGCTAAGATTTGTAAGGACTTTTAAGAAATAACAAAAGCAAAACAGTACTGGAGTAAAATTAGATTACAATTAGAAGAGATAACCAAACAACATAGGGATGAAATCGGAAACATTTTTATTAGGAATACTCCCAGGATCGTATGAAAAAAAAAATACAATATTTAATTATTCATTCACAGCAGCAAGAATAATATACACACAGAATTGGAAAAACAATAACATACCGACCAAAGATAATTTGATTAGAAAAGTTTTGGAATGTGCAGAAATGGATAAACTTACAAAGGAGATACAAGAAAAAGAGGAAACAGAATATTATATAGTGTGGAAGAAATGGTACGAATGGCTAGAGGAGAGAGATACAAGGCAAGGCAAGATCAAATAATGAAGATATAGGAGTAGAAATGTAACAATAAGAAGAAACAGAAAAAATGCAGTTTATAGAAATGAAATTGTGTACACTGTTATTTATATGTACATATGTAAATAAATAAATATTAGACTTGTATGTATAAAGGATACATTGAAATAAGGGAGAAAAAATGGATAAGTAAGAAATGTTTAACAGTTGTGAAACTGTTGGAAAGAAACTATTGTTTAAGGAGTCTTTTTTGTTTTTTGAAAAAATGTTTAATGAAAATTATTTTTAAAAAAAGAAATAACAATAAATTTTACTTATGGGTGTAAGAAAAATCTATTAAAGTTCTAAAGGATTTTTGCTTTGAAACATAGAGGAGCAGCAAATTCCCTCTGGAATTCTTTTTGGAGGGGTCAAAGAATATTTTTAAAAAACAGGTAAGTTTATAAGTTTGTCTTCTTTGATCAGGGTTAAAAGAAGAAAATAGTTATATCTGGTTGACCTTACTGGATTTTTATTGACAAAGATTGATTGATAGAGTATTTTCAATTTCTTCTACTTATTTAGGAGATGAACTATGAAGAGATGAGAGATTATGTTTTATTTAGAGACAGTGATAAGCTATTAAAATTGTTTTTACCTGCTGGGATGAAGGGGAAAGTTACTTCTTTTTTCTTTCTGGATTATTTATTTAATACAACTTGGTTAAAAGTCATTATTTAAATTGTTGCATGATTCCAGCTTGTGAAACTCTGATTTCAAAGCTCTCCAAAGAACTTGAAGGTAGGACAAGAAGTAATGGATGGAATCTAATCAAGGAGAAAACCATCCTAGAACTAAAGAGAAATTTTCTGACAGAACAATTAATCAGTGGAATGACTTGCCTCCACAAGTTTTGGGTGCTCCGACACTGGAGGTTTTTAAGAAGACATTGGACAACCATTTATCTAAAATAGTATACAGCAGTGATGGCTAAACTTTTTGCCATCGTGTGCCAGGAGAGGGGGGGTGGGGGAGGGTCGTGCGCGCACATGCCCACGCACATGCCCACGCAACCCCACCCACCCCTCGCTCCTGGCACATGATGGCCTGGTAGGCCCGTTTTTCTTTCTTACCTGGTTCCAGATCCTCTCTATGCATCTGGGAAGGGCGAAAACAGCCTTTCCCACTCCCTTGGAGGCCCTACTGAGGCTGAAAGGGCCCATTTCCCGACTCTCGGTGGGACAGGAAGTGACATTTTTTGCTGTCCCCAGCCTCCAGAACCTCTCTAGGAGTCTCTAGGAGCCTCTCTAGGAGTCTCTAGGAGAGTCTCTAGGAGTCTCTGGAGGCTGGGGATAGGAAAAAACATCACTTCCTGTCCCACCGGGAGTCGGGAAATGGGCCCTTTCAGCCTCTGTAGGGCCTCCAAGGGAGTGGGAAAGGCTGTTTTCGCCCTTCTCAGATGCATAGAGAGGATCTGGAGCCAGGTAAGAAAGAAAAACAGGCCTCCCCCCCTCCCAGGCCCTCCAGAGGCAGGAAACAGCCTGTTTCCCTACTTCTGGTGGGCCCAGAAGGCCCAAAAATCAGTTGGACGGCGCGCGCATGCGCCCCAGAGCTGAGCTGGCGTGCCCACTAATATGGCTCCGCGTGCCACCTGCATCACGGGTATAGAGTTTCCTTCTTGAGGAGGGGGTTGGACTAGAAGATCTCCAAGAACCCTTCCAACTCTGTTATTCATTCTGTACAACTATAAAGCTACTTCAGTCTGGTGCATGTAACAACCCTTAATAGAGAACAATCAATGTTTCTTTAAATTTGGATGCTGAAAAATCACATCTTCCTTTTCAACAATCCCACACTTCACAGTGGTTCAGCACTTACCTCTAACTGTGCTAGCTTTTCTTGTATTTTATAATACTGATCACTGTCAACATTCACTGCTTTTCTCATAACCTCTCCCATTTCACAGATTATGTCAATCTGATTTTCAATCTCCTGCAGATAGATTACAAAACAAAATTCTCAATTAAAAGCACGTAAAAACAGATATTCATCATTACTGCAAATTAAAAACACTATTGTAATGAAGAGAGAAAAATAGTGCTCGGCTGTAGGAATTGTCTTCTTTACTTAAATTTGTGTTTGTCAACAAGGGGGAACAGCTGATATTGCAACTAGGCTTCAATAAACCTTTTCACTAGAGTGAGTTGTTGAAATCTTTCAGATTATAAAAAAAACCCTTAAATTGATGTAATTTATTAGAGAAAGTAAAATAAATGCCACAGACAAGCAGGATAATTTAAATGATAATCAGTCTAATATAAGGTTGGAAAAAGTATCTGTAATGAGACATGCCCATCCAAATCAAGAAAACTTTTAATGAATGACTCTGTTGAACTCTAAAGGGCTAATTTTAAGTTGTGCCTTTATTTACTGTACTACATTTACTGTATATTTCACTTTTTTAAATATACAGTACCATGACAGGTTTAAGTCTTGGAACTGCAGCAGTTAAATAGGAACCAACTAAAATTTTGTAGTTTTTTTTTGTGGCATAAAAATAATTAATTTAACCATCTATGATATTTACAGTTATTTGCTTTATAAGAACTTTTAAGTTACTTTATGGCTCAGCTGCAATGCTTTCTCCTAGAAAGAAAAGGCACTTCTGAGATATTTCAGAGAAGAGACTCTTGAGGAAAAAGTGAGACTCAAAAACAGGCACCATAGGAACAGAGCAAGTCTCCTAAATCTCTTTATTTTTTGGAGAGAACATAGTAATTTCTTACCGCAGACTGAGTTTGATGTACTTGCAAAATGGATTGCGAATCCACATCTTTTCTTTTCATCATGAGCTGCAACATATGTTTTCTGTATTTGCTCATAATAAGCTCCAGTGCATCTTGATGTTCTTCCAAAGAGATCCATAGCTCTGGGGGGGAAAAGTGTAATTCCATGGTAGTATACACATTGGTCCCTATTATTTGTTTGGTTATACTTCCATTTCAAATTCTTTCCCTGACAGCAGACCAGGGAAAGAAACTAGAGTTCTTTGATCAATGCACACTCTGGATTAGTATTTTTATAATCAAACAAACTTGGTTTATAATCTAATCCTATGCATTTATTTGGGGAAAAATTTCTGTTTTTCACTGAAGCTTATGGTTATTTAAATGTGTGGCAGACTATCTGTCATCTATTTATATAACACAACAGTTAATCAGTGAGGTTACAATCTATTTTTCAAATAAATTGCAGATTGAATATAATTTGAACAAAATTTGGGAGGGTTTTTTTGTCTTGGCATCCTTATACAACCAGCATATAATGCCACGACGACACCAATAATAAAATGATTTTAAGCTGATATTTTTACCACATGGTTTGTTGCATGAATAAGAAAATAAACCCATTATTTCAAATAGTTCAAATTATACCCATTTTATCAAAATTATTTATGCCAGATCTCACATACTTCCAGCCTCAGAACATTCCTAAAATATTTTAAATTAAGCTCCGAAGTAAAGCCCTCAATTAAATCATTATTTCTATAAAAATCATTCTAACTCACAACTACTTCATTAGGACAAGGCTCACCTCTATTTTCCTGTTGCAGATCTCTGATCTGGGTGTTTTCCTGAGATAAGAGAATGTGAGGTTTGTATTTAGAGAGATCCTTTAATTCAGCTGCGTCTTCTTGATACTTGTAAAAGAAAAGAAAAAAACGTTTTGTTATGAGCCAGAGAACTTGTACATTGCAACACATCCATTCACCCTGCAATGCCAATCAATTTGTGCCATTAACAAATCTTGCACTCACCTTGTGCGAAAGAGTTGAGCCAGCTTCTTTCATGGCTACTACTTTCTTATGCAGCATAGTGGACTGATCAATGAGAGACTCGGCAGCGTTATCGTGATCTTTCAGCCTTTCCAGCAATGTCTTTGCATCTGTCAAGATCTTTTCTATTGTGCAGGCCATTTTCTGAGAAGACAGGAGAGAGAGAGAGAGAGAGAGAGACCAAGACTCCAAGCTGACAGGATGTAACAATTTGGTGAGGGGAGGATAGAGAAATGAACAAAATACCTTACCAGCATTTGCTAAGAGATCTAGGCTCGCCTCAGGTTGTAGAACAAGCCGGAATAAGAAAGTGGGAAGATCGCGCCGCCGTAACCCCAATTCAAGGCTTTAGGTTCAGCTATTAGTAACAACTCAGGAAAACGGCACTGTCTAATCTTTGGTCTGTACCACTCTAAGACCGGAGGGGGAGAGACGAAGGAAAGGGATATTCCCCACCGCTCACCTGGAAATCCCCAGGAGCCGCGTTACACCCCCTTCCCCGCGATGTCCTGGCTCTTCCGCGCGCGCGCACGCGCACACACACACACACACACACCTGTGTGGCGGCCGCGCTTGGCCACGCAATAGTGGATCTTAGCTGAAGGAACCAGGAGTGGGTAAGAGAACCGCTAGGGGGCGCAGAGGTCACGGGCTCCGAGTCGCTGAACCGTCATCGCTTCCGGTGTAACGTTCGGCTTCGGAAACGAAGGACGTCACGCTTCTCCAGAGGCACTTCCGCTCCCCAGTGAAGCGGGTGAAGGGAAGGAGGGGAGGGGAGAGGCGATGTACACAGCGCAGGGTGGGGGTTCATCTGGCGTACTTTGCGTTTATTAGTGGCGATGGTTAGTGAGGCGGGAGGTTAGTGTTGTCTGGACAGCAAGGCAACATCTCCAAAGTCATTGGAAAGCCCACAAAGTAGCAGCCACTCTAAACCAGAGGTCTCCAATCTTGGCCAGTGTAAGCCTGGCGGACTTCAACTCCCAGAATCCCCCAGCCAGCAAAGCAAAGCTGGGTGGGAGATTCTGGGAGTTGAAGTCCTCCAGGCTTACAGTGGCCAAGGTTGGAGACCTCTCTAAAACGGGTGGGCAACTGTGGCAGGAATTCTGGGAGTTGAAGTCCACAGGTTGTAAAAGGGCCACAGTTGCCCACCCTTGCTCTAAACGGATCTCTAAAGCGGACAAGCACTTGAACCCCAGTAGAAGTAGGTAAAAAGTGTACTTGGCAGCCTCATCAAGAGCAGAGTTAAAATCATTCTTTACCTCTGGTTAAAACAGCTGCCTTGTTCCCTGACTAAACCCAAATGTTCTCGCAGAGTACGCTTGGCACATATGAGCACTGAAGAAGTGGATTTCAATGTTTTTTGGTTGTTTTTTTACTTCCAGGTAAATAGACACAGAAATATAGTTGTGCTTGAGAAGCTTTAAATTTATATGACAAATTTGTCTGCAATATTCTTTGGGATTTTACCCATCTTCTTTACCCCAAGTATGTAATGAGCAAAATATTAAATTGAATCTCATTTCAGATAACTTTGTTAACCGCATTTATGAACCACCGCTATCCCAAATGATTATCAGTAGCTTACAAGATAAAATACACAATACATGAGATGCAATAAATGCATAAATAAAACGCCTGAAAGCTATTAAAAAGAATAACATTGAATAACAAAACCCATGATAATCCCACCAAAATGGAATTGCAGCCCAAATGCGATCCAGAACAGCTCAGTTCAAATTGTTTTTGGAAGGCAATCAATGCCGCCCAACTGACATGCTAGTCTAAAGTTTAGTGCCACCATCCCAAAAAAGAAGCCATGTGAGCCTTAACCCCCCCTCTTCTATGCAGACCTCAGAAGTCTTGCATAGCTAATATCAATGCTTTTTTTTAAAGTATTGCTTTTTAAAATAGCAGACAAAACATATACATAAAAGACATACATAATAAAATACATATTTAAAATTAATTAGCTTAAAATTAGTGAAAAAATACAGCAGAAAAAGCAAAATATAAAGTAATGCAAATATTTTGAGCAAATGAGGCCATATCTTTCCAATATTGCAGTAACAAATTTTAGTCATAGGGCACACAGAATGCATTGATGCTATCTAGTTGCCACATTCCATGAACTAGGTACATAATTCATAAATTCTCTGGGAATTTTAATTCTTGTCACAAGAGTCACACTTATATAATCCACTACTTTCTCCCAAAACTTAAGTATAAGAATGTGTTTTTAAAAGAAGCGTTATCTCAAACAAAATACCGTCCCAGACAATACTTTTTTATATAGGTTTATTGGAGTCCAATAAATTCCAATTTTTATTTTTCGTTGTGTAAGTTGTAGTTTAAGGTACATTGATACTTTTGCTATGGAAATTAAGACATTCTCCAATTGACCAAGCAATATAGGAACTTCTAATCATATATTCCACTCATTTTTTAATTTTTGCATATCAAACTGATTTATTTATAAGAACTATCTATTATTAAAACTAATAGGTTTTTTAGTTTTAAAAGATTTAACTATTATTGTAATATCTCAGGTGTCTCAAAACCTGAAAATGCTGCCGATACAAACAAAAATAACAAATGTTTTAGGTATATATATTGCCAGAGTTACAACTGATAGATCATATTTGTATCTCAGCATGGCGTGAAAAATTTATCCTCATCCTCTTCAATTGGTCCAAAGTCAATATCTCTGCTTTCATTCAATTTTTCCTTCACATCATTTCCCCCAATTTTTAATATTGGATTTCCCAATAAAGTCAATTTAGCATAGGAAGAAGGACCAAATATCTTTTTATTAGACATTACATTCAGTAGCTTTTTAACTGATAAATTGTTTGGAGAGATACTAGAGTTATATTATATTTAGATCCTAATATTATCCATTCAATCAAAGGTGCAATATATGTATCTCCCAGAGTTACCCAAACCAGAAAATTAACACCAATTGTTGGCTTCCAGTATTTAATACTTGATAATATGTAAGCTTGATAATATTGTTCCAGATTCAGAAAACCAAATTGTCCCTTATTAATTGGTAATTTCATTTTCTGTAAATATATTATTGGAATCGAACCTGAAAATATTTTCTGGATATTTGAATAAGAATTACTCTCAGGATATAAATTAATATGAGAATAATATTCATTTTGAGAACATTCATTTTCCCTAGAGAGTGAGGTTTAGTGACTCCCGTGTCTCTCCCTCCCCTATCTATCTATCTATCCATCCATCCATCCATCCATCCATCTATATGTCAATACTTTAAGTCCTATCTCATAATTAAATGTTTCAGGATAATGGCCCAGAATATTCATTTTCAAAAAACGATCCAGAAACCCAAATCAATTAATTTCATTTTTTATTAAAACCAAATGGTATTGATGGTAATGAAATTTTAAAAATAACCAGAAATTGAATTTTGATGTCCTTTCTAAGCAATAAATCATAATGACCATATGTTCATTTGGTCATACGTTTAAAATATGTTTAAAATAGCAACAAAAAAATAAAATTTCTGTCAACTAAGTATCAGAGTAATAGTATAGTTAGATAGAATAATAAAAGTTATAGCTCTTTAAAACCAAATAAAAAAGGAAGGAGAATCCCACAGTTTGGGTGCTAGTCTAAAAACCACTTGTTCCTTGCTTTTTACCAACCTTGTCTGTTTTAGTAGCTGGCCAATTAGAAGTCCTGTATGTCAAATTGAATAAAAAAAACAGACTGGCAGCACACATACACTCACTCTAATGCAAAATGTTTTTAGAGTGCTTTGGTCTGGAACAGGGGTCTGCAACCTTAAACACTCAAAGAGCCATTTGGACCCATTTCCCACAGAAAAGAAAACACTGGGAGCCACAAAACCTGGGTGGGCGTGGCCAATTCGACATCACTCAGTTCCACCAGTCACATGACACCCCCCCCCAGCCACGCCTACCCAGCCGGTCATTAGGGCAGAGAACCGGTTGTTAAAAAACACTGGGAACCACAAAACCCTTTTGAAATCTCTCTCTCCCTCCCTCCCCCCTCTCCCTCTCTCCCCACCTCTCTCTCTGTATCTTTCTATGTCTCTCTTTCTCCCCCTCTCTCTGTATCTCTCTGCCTCTGCCCCAGCAGCTTCTCCATCCCCCGCCATCGCCCTTACCTTCTCAGGCCAGGCGAGGAGTGACTGGGAGGGGAGAGTGAGGGGCGGGGCCAGCCAGTGGTGTGATCACCCGACAGGGAGCCACAGCAGAGGACCCAAAGAACCGCATGCAGCTCTGGAGCCACAGGTTGCTGACACCTGGTCTGGAATGTTCACACACACCCCTCCACCTTGTGGAGTTGAAGACCACAACACTTTGTTTATTATTAGAAAAAATATATGCTCCTGACCCTTGAGCTACCAGCTTTATGATTGTATCCTTGTACTTTCTGACGCTGTGTTGATTTGTTTTTCTTCTATAACATTAAAAGCTGTGCCGTCCAGAGATTATTAAAACTTTGTATATTAATTTGTTGAGTAAAATCAACTAAACGTTTCTTCTGAATAAATGTATACAAGACTGCAAAAATACTACAGAAGTAGTCTAGTGTAATGTCTTGGTGTCTTAGTTGAGTTAAATGTGCTACAAATGCTAAGCATATATATTGCTACTGGGAAATATAATCAAAGAATCATTTTAAGGGAAGATATCTGCCTTAAAGCTAGTCTCAATGTTTGTATAATAGCAGTTGATCTAACAAGGTGCTAAACAATTTGTCTGTGTTAAAGTAAACCACTTTACTTGTTTCTTTTCCATCTCTTCTCTCTTAAAACATGTGGCCTAAAGACTAGGATCATATATTAAATTATGATATACTTAACCATAGTTTATAGAATAAAAACAATTAGCTTAGTTTGTGCAGAATACTAAACCATAAACAATAGTTTACAAACCACAGTACGCATTAGACCAAAAATTAAACAAGTTTCATTATGATTCAGCACCATGTGTGAACCTGAGTAAAATCTACTTAAAAATTAAAGTACAAGGATTATAGACCACAATCATCCAGCTATTGTTTTGCATACTTATTTGAGAGTTTTATTAAACACTGAGGCTTACACTTAAGTAAATTGACATATACTAAATCTATTAAATCAGCCATTAACCAGAGCAATCTCATTGCATTAAGATATGATTTGTTTCATCATAGTTTGTTGAATAAGATAACAGTTATTGACTTATACAATACACTAAACCATACACCATGGTTTATAATCTACAATAGCTGGGTTATTTGCACATAATTCTAAATTAAAACCAAGCAGACCAGAGAGATTTTAGCAGCTGGAGGGTAAGCAATTAAATGAATCTGCCCAATTTGCAAAATTGTTCTATGTACCTCCTCTCTAATGGGGTCTTATTTCCCCACCACAATTTATATTAGAGTGGCCTGTTCGTGGAAGGAAGGAATTTGATG